CGGCTTTCAGGACGTGGCCTGCCCAGCCTGCCTGCTCAGATCGGGCCCAAAAAGCTGGGATTTGGCCAACGCCTCTTGCTTTGAAGGAGGGTGATGCCGCGGGGTGCGGTTGGGCTACGGGCCACGGTGAGGATGGGGTGGTGCTGGGGGACAAACACACCACTCCGTCCCAGCCTGACTGGGGGCAGCTGAGCACGGGGCAGCTCAGCCCACGTCGTCCTCAGCTCTCAGCCGGGTGCTTTGCCTGGATGCCGGGGTGCTGAGAGCATCCCCTAAATCTGGCCAGTGCACCCAGCCTCCGCGGCCGGGGGCTTTTCATGGCAAAAGTGCCCATTCCCTGGTGTTTCCCTGGTGGGGGGGTCCAACTTAGCAGCCCCTGAGGCTGAGCAGGAGCCTGGGGAGTGCTTATCCGCCCAGGATGGAGCCCTCGCTGGCACAATTAGCATCCTCCACGGCCCTGGGATGTCACCCGGCGGCGAGCATCCTCCTGCTGACCCACCAGCTCTTCTGCGCCGGCGCTGGGACCCAACCCCTGACCCCAGGGACTCCCACCACCACCACGGCGATGCGGCGGGTGCGAGGAGGTGCAGGTGGGATGGAAACATCACGCTGCACCGCGTCGCTGCCGCTCGCAGGGTGGTCACGGTGGTGCTGGTGGCCCTCAGCGTGGTCTGGATCCCCATCCTGCAGAGCTCCAGCGGTGGCCAGCTCTACGTCTACATCCAGGCGGTCACCAGCTACCTGGCTCCTCCTGTCACCGCTGTTTTCGTTCTGGCTGTCTTCTGGCCGCGAGCTAACGAGCAGGTACACCCTGGGGTGGCCGTGGCGATGGCTTGGGGACATGGGGTGGTGCTGACACCACCTGCCCTGCTTCCAGGGACCCAGTGGGGCTCGGGGGGTTAGCGGGGAGGAAGCGGGGAGGCGCTGCTGGAGGGGCTGCGGAGAGGAACCGAGCCTGGCTGGTGTTTCCCCAAGGAGCTGGTGGGCGGCTGGTGTGAAGAGGAGGAGGAGGCAGGTGCCACCACGCATGGCCACCCAGCGTGGCACGGCCGATGGGGCTGGCAGGGGACATCCCTTGCAGAGGGGGTGCAGATTTGCGCTGGGGCTCATCTGTCCCAACACACAGGGGCTGCTTGACCCTCTCCCAGGGCTGGCTGGAGAGTGTGGCTCCCCAGGGTGGGTTGGTCCCCACCGCGGGATGACTGTCCTCCCCTCCAGCCACCCCACCAGGGACCTTAACTTTGCAGGGAGCTTTCTGGGGCCTGATGGCGGGGCTGGCGCTGGGGCTGGCCAGGATGGGGATGGAGCTGGCCCACC